GAGCCGTTTTCCCTACTTTTAAGAAATAAGAAGGGAAAAAACAACCGTCGCATTAACTACAAAAGTTTCTAAGGCCCAAGCCCAATAAATTTATCGAGTCGACTAAACCCGAAGTGGGGAACTCGCTTTAAGCCGAGCTCAGTTCTCGCATTCTTAAGAGAAAGGTCTGATCAGCCTAAAAATCTCAAAAGCATAACCATAAGGCCACAAAAGGTTAAAAGCGGACTTTGCAAACCCGCATATAATTTTAACCAAACCCCCTTGGGGTCATAACCTAGAAAGGTTTAAAAGCCTCCTCAGGCAAATATCTTGTTCAAAAGAAATGATAAAGCCTCCTTAGGCCAAAAACAAGTTCGAAATTAAGTTTAAACTAAACGGGACAATCCCCAGTTTAAAGTGGACATAGCCACTACGGATCGACATCCACCTCGGACTCCGGCCCAGCTGTCAAAGTTTCACTCGCCTCCTTAACTGGTGCTTGATCAGATGAAGCTCCTGGACCACCCTCCACGGTACAACCATCCTCCGGAGTGACCTCCAGCGCCGCAGGAACTTCGGGTGGGACAACGTCTTCCGTCTCACTTGAGCCTAGAAAAAATAATTCAGTCAATCAAAGGTACAAGACAAGAAAAGGTAGTGAGTATCAAGAGCCAAAAGTTACCCGCCCAGTCTTGACCCGATTCACTTATAGGAGGAGATTCTGTGAAGAATTCCTCAAAGTCCTGCGGGTTGAAAGTCGAAGCGGGAAGAGCTGCCAAACGACTCCGCTTTTCAGAAAGATTGGTTGACAGTTCGGCCCTCTCTTGCACCTCGGAGAAATCTGCATCATGGATTTGGTCCAACAGAATCAGGTTGCTCTCGTGCTCCTTGACGTCTGATTCCAGATCTGACCTAGCCTTCTCGGTTTGAATGAAGCGGATGGCCCCCTGGATCAACTCCGTCCCGCATCCCTTAACATCTTTTCTGGCTTTCGATGCCGACCTTGCCAACTCGGAATCACGCAACTTGGCTAGCGCCTTGTACTTCGCGTCAAGCTCGATAAGTTGGTTGTTCAGGGTATCGGCGGTTGATTCGGATTCATGAAGTCTACCCTGAACACCAGAAAGTTCATCCTGGAGTTTGTAATTCCGGTCGTACTGGTCTTGCAGCTCCCCCTTTATCTGCGCAAGCTCGGATGTTAAACTGTCGACCTTGTCCTCCAGATCGTGCTTGGAGCCGGCAGAAGAACTGAGTTCAGCCTCAAGAGCAGAGAATTTCTTCTTCCACATGTCAATCTCCTTCTCCCGTCCAATGACCAACCCTTCGTAATGTTCAATCATGTCGTTAAGTTCGCCGTGAGCCTGGCATTATACATAAACCTGTGATGGCTAGTCAGTTCGCATAATGGCAATGCAATAAAAAAAAAAAAACAAAAACGGAACTAACCCGAGATGAGTGATGCGCGTGAAGCAAATAGCGTTCACGAATCGCAGGGCGCCACTTGTCGAAGTCTGGCAAGATCGAACCCGACCGGGTCTTGAAGCATCGGAAGACGCTGCCTTCTTTCTCCATAGCTGCGAAGAAGGAAGAGTTGCAAAAATTAGAATCTTAATAGAGACAAAAACGTTTGAGTATGTTTAAATTACCAAACCTGAAAGCGATTTGACTTGAGGGACAAGAACGGGCTTTAACCTCGAGGAAGCATCTCGAGATTCAGAATCTCCCTTTTTAGGAGATGCACTCCGAGCAGTCTTTTCGCTGTCGGGCTGGGAAGAAAAAGACATATCAACCGGTCGTGGAGGACCCATTGGGTCAGTAGGAGGGGATGATCGAGGTGAACGGTCAGTCCGGGCCCTTGACTTTTTCCTCCGCGGGGAAGAATCACTACGAGAGGACTTGTCTCTCTTCCGGCGAACCAAGTTCTTAAGTGGTTCGTTACTAAAAGCATCTCAGGGAGGACGAGGTGAATCACGGCGAGGAGATCGGTCCCTCCGAGGAGAACGTGAGTCACGACGATCACGACGAGGAGTTAATCTGAAAGAAGCGACGGATCTGGCTCCTTCGGTGCTGCCATCATCAACCAGCAGGGTCCTACTGTAGTCCTTCTTGTCTATAGAAGTCGCGAAAAACTTTTTCTTCACCTCGCAAGCCTCAGCCATCGGCTTGGAAAGCACTTTACGCTTGGCCGCAAGGGCCCGAGATGACATCTCCTGAGTTGAGGGAAGAGGCGGAAGTTGGTGAAGTTGACCCGGTGGACTCATCCTGAGTCTGTGGTTAGCTTCTAGGAATCGTTCAAGAGTGAAAGAATTCCAAAGGGTTTCCCCTTCGAGAATTATTTTGAAGAATTCGATGAACTCTTCAGATGGGAGAGTGGAAGCGACGAAAGCTGCGAAATGAAACAACGGCTTTAGTCAATAAAGATAATAAAACAACCGGAAAAGATATATGCGACCTAATCTCTACCAGGCTTTGCAGACCACTTTGATGGGAGTAAATCTGCAAGATTTCCAATCGAAGCGGGAGTTTTCTTAATCAGAAATCAAGGATGGTGCCAATTTTCATCCTTGTTCGGAAGGTGCGAGATGATGTTTCTATTAGCGTTCGGATACGCTGAGAAATATCCCGTCTTCTTCGATGAACTTCTTACGCTTAGAAGCTCATTTAATTCAGTAACTCCGATAACATATCCGGCCTCCGCCGCGATTGTTATAATTTCGAGAATAGTTCGAAGAAGATTGGGAGTTAGTTGAGGAAGCGCGATTTCAAGAGCCGCTAGGTATCGAACTAGGGCTTCGGGAAGGGGAAAGGTCAGCCCGCAACCTTTAAAATAGATCTCATATACACAGAAATAGCCGTCGCAGTGGCTTTCTGGGGACTCTGTGGGATCGGCTATCTGCGCCTCCGCCATAATTCCTGGTGGAATTCGGCAGAGCTCCCTCAATCGTTCGAGAGATTGAAGGGTGCAGGTGGTTCTGTAGTGCGGACCAGCAATATCATTAGGGCGGGTGCACTCGTCATTACTAGAACGCCTTTCATCGAAAGACGGAGACTCGGGTCTATCGGAATCAGAAGTCATTGGGAGGAATGAAAAATTCAAGTTTCGGCAAAGAGAAAATTGGCGAAGAAAGAGAAGAGAGGAGTTTCGATTAAAGCGTAAAAGTAGAAAATGATGATGAAAAGAAGTTACCTTACACAAGCTAAATGATGGAACCGCCTCGGAAGTTGTGTGGGGAGTGGGAAGGTTTTTTTCCCGTTTTAATAGTAATTAATCAATATACGGTCATAATAATGACAGATGTCACTCGGTTAAAAAAAATAGCTAGTGCCGAAATTAAAGGAGTGATGAGATTTTCGGCGGGAAATCAGAAAGATTCTCGAGCGCAATCTTTGGTCACTTGAGCATTTAAAGTCCTCCGAATTGGAATAGCACTTCGAAGAACTTGGGGGGCTAATTGTTGGTGTCGGATCCCGCACCAGAAGTCCGAGACCAACCAAAGATTGCCACGTAGTCAAGATAATGGCCCATAAAGGATAAAACCCATTGGACCCGTGAGCCGAAGGAACGGTCGAAGTGGTTATCACCACTTAGAGAATCCGAAGTGACTGCTCTACGACATGAGTTCGGTGTAGAAGACACGGGTAAGTCGGTTCAAGGACACTTGGGCCAAAAGGCGAGGCCCATGAAGATCAGAGTCAACTCAATTTCAAACATTAAGCATTAAAGTCAAAGAATCAAAACGGACACATTTAAGAGGGAATAATTGTACTTAATTATTCATTTTAATGACGATTCTCTATGTATAAATATAAAGGCCAATGGCCATGTAAAGGGTATCTTCCTCTCGAGAAAAGAAATAATATAGCAATTTTCGTAGCAATTTATAAGTTTTTACATATTCATTTTTGTCCCTCAAGAGTAATCTTTCCTACTTAATAGAAATACTTGAGTGTGTGAATCCGACATCCACAGTGAAGATCAAAACAGTGAAGAAGAAGACGAGTAAAAAAAAATCTGTTGTATTTCCTTTGATGATGGTGACATGGAATGATGACATGGAATGTTGGATCCGACGTCATTTTTTAATTTATGAAGTGGCAAGTAAGCCACCAAACGAACATGTAAATCAGCCTAATTAAACCAGCCATCAAACAAAACTTTAAGTCAGTCGCAACATAAATACTTTTACAGTAATTCAAAAACGAAAAAACAGATGCCAAATTCAGCCGTTTAATATCGTAACTCAACCGAAAATCTTTAACTCAGCTGTATCGTTTAATAAGTCGGCCGTAATTGCATGATGTTCTCGTAATTAATCTTTCGCTACTAAGTCAGCCGTAATTAGGCCGAGTTTTCCGTTAATCCAGCTCATTACGGCTGATTTATAAAACTCGAACATAAATCAGCCGTAACGACATCCCATAACTAAGCCGTCTATGATAACTCAGCCAGCCGGAGAAAGTTAATTTAGCTGTGTCGAAGCAATAACTCAGCCAAAATTTTGACAAATCAACCATCGGTTATGCTCGAAAGTCAGCCATTTTCTCATAACTCAAACAGATTTCATTAAGTCAACCGTAACTCCAAGCTGAGTTATACTCGTAAATAGTCGTTTGCTCATAACTAAGCCATTTTCCTTAAATACGATAGTAATAAAAAAAAAATATATATATATATATATATGTTTAGTTTTGTCCTATAATGCTCCAAACCATGGTTGATTGCATGCAAAAGTAGTGTTCAAAACCACGAGTTTGTGTTTCTCTTTGTTTGAAAATTTTTTATTCAAACATCGATATTTTTCTTTATTACAATTGGGAGAAACAATCCAATTAATTCTACGTAATTAATTTCACATGCTTAATTTTTCTAAAAAACAATCTTCTATGCACTGTTTGCGGATCTCATGTGCACGACCAGGCCAATTGAGTTTTGATTAATTTATTGTAAATCGGTCAATAAATTATGTGTACTTAAAGCTTCACCACTTGAACGATTCGAATTATGTGTACTTAAAGCGTGAGCAGAAGGTAGTTATGAGAAAGCTTTTTAGAAGAAAATACATCAAACATAAAAGAAGAGAAACAGCATAATGGAAGCAGCAACAATGGGTTTTGTTGCTAAAACTCTCCCTCACCTTGGCAATGGCACTCGTCTTCCTCTTAAGACCAAACTCTCGCTCTTTCCTATGCATTTGCTTCACAACCACATTACTCTTTCTCGGAGATCGACAAAACAAAACTTATGTGTTAAGGCAACTAGTGAGAGTAGTGGTGATGTTGAGAGTAGCCGTCCTTTGCCTCATGTTGCTCCCACTCTTTGGGGAGATCACATCCTCTCTGTCCCCACCGAAAACTCGGTAAGTACCTGATCTGATGAATGTGTTTTATAATCAGTCTCTCTTTTGCAGAACATGATTCTTGAGCACTGATGTTTTGTAGGAATTTGATTCACTAGAGACAGAGATTGAATCAATTATAAAGCCGAAAGTGAAGAACATGCTAATGTCCTCTCACAACACTGATAAAGAGAGAATATTACTCATCCACTTGCTTATGTGTCTTGGTACTTCCCATTACTTTGAGAAGGAAATCGAAGAGATTCTAGACCAGGCTTTTGAGAAGTTGGACTCGTTAATTAGAGACGAAGATGATTTGGAAACAATTGCCATCATGTTTGAGGTTTTCAGATTATATGGACATCAGATTTCTTGTGGTAAGAAATATTAGTTTCTTTGACTCACATTTTAATGCATGCATGCATATTTATGACATGACACATGTTTTTTGGCTATATACAATTATAATATTTATCTCGGTTTCAATTTAGATGTGTTCGATAGATTCAAAGGTGTTGATGGGAAGTTCAAACACCTAGTCAGTGATGTTAGGGGAATACTACAGCTGTATGAAGGAGCGCATCTCACGACACCCTCCGAAGATGTAATGGACGAAGCCCTGAGTTTTACAAGGTATCACTTGGAATCTCTGGCCGGACAAGAAGCGACGGCTCCTCATATGGCACAACATATACTAAACGCATTGTATAAACCTCGGTTTTTCAAGTTACAAATAGAAGCTGCCAGGGAATATCTTTCTTTCTATGAAAAAGAGAGTCATGATGAGACGTTGCTCAAGTTTGCGAAGCTCAACTTCAACTTTTGCCAGCTCCATTACGTTAGAGAGCTAAAAACTCTCACTAAGTACGTTGGCCTCGTTTTATTTATTTCCGCGTTTTTATATGTATTTTTAGTTTTTTTTTCTTACAAAAACCAATGAACTTCTAATTTAAAATCAATTGATAATAAATAGATACAGTTATTTCTATTTATGGCCCTATCTCGAAAATTTACTATAGATCTTATCTTACTTCAGGCTTCAGCTAGCTATATGATTCTTAGAGAAGTCGGCTCTTTTATTGACCCATCTCGAAAAATCTCTCTGTTGGATTGAAAATAGTTTTGTGAGATTCTTAACATTCTCTATTTAATGTTTATGTGGTTGCAGATGGTGGAAGGACATTGGTCTTGTATATAAGCTACCTTTCATTAGAGACAGGCTTTTGGAGACCTTTGCCGGTGTCATAGCGTTGTTTTTCGAGCCACACTATTCATTGGGGAGAATTATAACCACTAAAGCTTCCCAAGTTACAATAGTTATGGATGATGCATGTGATGCATATGGAACTTGCTCTGAAGTTAGAAGTTTCATCGATTCTTTGCAAAGGTAGTTAGTATGTGTGTATCACGTACTTATGTATGTATCACGTCGAGTTTAAAGAATAGTATACATGCATGGGAAATTTTGTAGGTGCCATTGAAGAACTACCGAGCAGTTTCAGAATCATCATCCGAAGTATGATGGAAACTATGGAAGATATTGAAAGAGAAATGAAGCCGCGCGGAAGATCCTCTAGTGTGCAATACTTGATAGAAGAGGTACATCAACCAATTTAGGTTACATTTTCGCTCAATGTCTAAATAACAATGTTTGTGTTTTATGTTGATAATTGTGCAGCTTAAGATCTATGCGGAATCGTACGTAGAGTTATCAAAATGGTCCCGATCAGGTCATGTTCCAACCTTTGATAAATACATTGAGGTTGGGATTGTCTCGTCAGGGATGAGATTCTTGGGAATGTTAAGCTTTATAACGCTGGAAGATTGCGATGAAAACCAAACGACTGAGTGGTTCGAATCCAAACCTAATATCTTACAAGCTTTTTGTTTTTTATACCGTCTTCAAAACGACATAGGCAGTTACTAGGATGATATGAGGAGAGGAGAGGTGGCTAATGGGGTGAACTGTTACATGAAGCAACATGGTGTTACTAAAGAAGTGGCGGTTAGAAAAATTAAGAAGATGATTAGAGATAGTTATAAGATAGTGATGGAGGAGTTCTTGACGACAAAAGGTGTACCACGTCCAGTTCTGGTACGGTGCCTCAACATGATAAGATTGATCAAGCTGTTTTATTACAAGGAGGGTGATGGATACACCAATCCCCAAGGAGAGCTCAAAGACCTCATCACATCTTTGTTCTTCCACCCTCTTCCGTTTTGACGACTTGGCTCCTTGCCAAAAACAATCATTTACACTTGTTTTGTTGCCTCCAAGTATCTCTTTCTTTTTTTTTTTTTTTTTTTTGCCCAATATCTCTTTCCTTTGTAATAGCCAAACAAGCCTCCCACAAATTATATATTCTATCATTGGCTCCTTGTGATCCTCTCCACTTGTTTGTTGCCTCCAAATATCTCTTTGATCCTTTCTAATAATTGATTATTCGCTTATAATTAAATACTAATAACGACATGGCTAAACGTTTCTTCATGTTTTGTTTTTTTTTCTTCAAAATTTAGATAATACATTAAAACTAATTTAAGTACTTGATATAAAAAAATTATAAAATGGAGCGTTTGAAGTTCAAATCAGGTTTTTATAAACAAATAAATAAAATATAAAACAATATGTGGATCACCACTTAGAATTTTAAATATTATCAATAAAAATTTTAACATATATTTTTTATATGCGGATCCTAATTTACTTTTATTATATAAAGCTTGGTTTCAAAATTAGTCATTAACATGATCGTGACACGTGTCAATTAATTGATTAGATTGTGACAAGTGTCAAAAATTTTAATTTTTTAACCAAATTCGAACTAACAAAAAAATATATTTACATATTTTAATTTTGCGTGTATATTTTTAAATACATTTGAGCTTTACTTTTCTAAACTGGTTTTTTTAAAATAACAATATTAACATATACTAATTTATGTGTATATATCTTTGACGTTCGGTAGTTAGGATCCTTTTATGCAATGTAGATAAAAATTTACTTTGTCTCCTACTGCAAAAACCAACCATTATCAGTTTAACATCCAAAAACTAACAGATCGGCCCATAGAGTTACTGAGCACACCCTGACAATCGTAAATGATCCAACCGAAATTATCTAGTAGTGACGACGGCTTTTTCTTCCATGTTTTGAGTGGCCAAAAAGAAGTCACAAAGCTATTTGCATGCGCTTATGAAACATAGCGACCACCAAGTGAAGGCCATCACCATCGGTGCCACCAAGTTCATCACCGAGCTTTTCCTTCTGCTTTAGTTTTTAGTTGTTTCTGGTTGCATTGGATGAGACGATCAACGCGTAAAAGAAAGAGTAATTACACTGCATACCCTAAGACTGAAAAGTATTTAAGTCAAAAGATCAATGGCAAACTTGTAAATAAGTGATCTTTTGAAAACATGACAAAAAGACAAAAATGCTCCCAAAACCAAACGATTCATTCCTTCTTCCTTCTTTCTTCGTTTCTCTTTCTTTTATTATTTATTTTTTTATTTTTATTTTTTTCTTTACTTTATGAAAACCCCAAACAAATGATTTTTCTAAATTGTGAAACTGATTGCATATAAAATTATGATATTTTTAATTCATTAAATTCGTTGTATTTTTCTGATCATAATGCACTCAATAAACCTAACAAAATTCTCGGTACAAAGACGTAGCGAATTTGATGTCGTTCATGTTATCGAAGGACATATATCAGAAATGATATAGGATCAAACCGGCGATGCTATCATCGACCAGTGATGGATAAACATATTTATCTCCCAATTCATTTGTTGTCACCGTATTCCACTTATGTTGTCTCACTAGGCTCTCTTTTCCATCCCATCACCACCTCCTCCTCCTTCACCGTTAACATATTCTCCGCTCACATCACCATCACTACCTTCTTCACTAAGATACAATCTACCACAATGTCTTATTTACTTCACTCATCCTCCACATCCACCATAATCCCCACCCCTCGCCGTCGCCAACAAACTCTCTCTCCCTATCACTACCACTATCTCAGATATCAACATATCATGATATATATTTAAAAATCTTGATATTTATTTATTTATCACGATATTTTAACATATATCATAATATATATTGCGATATCATAATATATGTTATGATATATATTGATATATCATAATATATATTGATATATCATGATATATATTACTATATCATGATATATATTGGTATATCATGATATATCATGATATATATTGATATATATATCATGATATATCATGATATATATTGATATATATATCATGATATATATTGAGATACCATGATAGATGTTATGATATATATTGATATATCATGATATTTATTGCTATATCATTATATATGTTGCTATATCCTGATATATGTTGTTATATCATGATATATGTTGCTATATCATGATATATATTGTTATATCATGATATATATATTGATATATCATGATATATATATATATATATATTGATGTATCATATGTAAACAACATTATTGAAATATTACGATATAAGATATATATCCATATATCCGATAAAAAACAAGACATCACGATACGTAATTGCATAGCAGAATATACTATCGATGCATGCATTTAATAAGTGGTGGCCCACTATAGATTCTCTGTCGTATCTGTCTCCTATGAAATTATCTCCCTTATATTTTAGAGGGTATTTTCGTCCAGAATTTGTTACTATAGCACTTTCTCTCTCTTGTTTTGCAAAGAAAAAAATTTGTGTATGTGAGAGCTAATTATTTCTCGAAAAACTAGCATACAGCTAATTGCCTCTAAAAGAAAACTAAGAGCTTTTTAAAAGGGTTTTTTCTGCAAAACAATTCTTCTGACTAGTCGATTTTTGCAATTTTACACTTCACTTCCAAAATATACATAATAATTATATGAAATAAAAAAAAATAATACGTAGTATATTTTTTTCTATCATCTTGTAAAATTTTGATAAATAATAAGTCAAATCGAAATTCTCGCGATAATGAGTTCAATTATATCTTTAGAATTTTAAAATCTAATGTATGTGATGTAAAACTATATATATATATATATATATATATATAAGATATATTATGTATTATTTTAAATTTTATAAGATTAGTTTGCATCTTTTGGAAGTAAAGAGTAAAGTTGTCGAAACTGACTATTTGAAAAATATTTTTTTCAAACACTTTTTTAAAGCGAAAAACAGAAAGTGGAGATAGTAAATAAAGATGATTCTGAAAAAAAAAATAAATAAATAAAGATGATTCTGTATTTACGATGGAAGAAAATTGCTGGATGATTAACAACATTGCATTGCATGCATGCAGAGTAAAACCAGATGACACGTGTTAGTTTTTTTTTTCTTTTTTGTTTGCAGTGTTTTATATTCAAACATCTATATTCTCTTTGAATTCAATTGGAAGAAATAATCCATTTTTTTTTTTTTTTTGTCAACCACACATTAATTAATAAATAATTCCTTGATTGGTTGCCCAATTAGGAGGAGTAGAGTTTACAAAAGTAACTTCAGAAAATAAAAGTCTAGAAGAACGGGCTAAGCAGTCCGCTTGAACATTACATAAACGAGAAATAAGAGAAAGCGAGAAGAAAGGGAAAGAGAGACGGAGAAAACCAAACTCGTCTAGAAGATTGGAGAAAGCAGGCCATTCATCCGGTGAGTGTATCATCGAGACTAACTCCGAGCAGTCTGATTCAAACACCTGACAATCGATTCCTCTTGAAAGGATATTCTTCATAGCCCAAATTAAAGCTTCCATCTCCGAGTGAAGAGGGGAGGGACACCTCCGAAGGCACTTTGCACCGAGCAGTATCGTGTGATCATTTCCTTGAAAACACCACCATCCTATACCCATTGTTGGATCTGAATGTTTCCAAGAACCATCAATCCGACATCTTATAGATTGAACCGGTCGTTCCAAAGTTTCCGTAGTAGAACTAGTTTCGATCGGATCCATTTATTTCTACGTAATTAATTTCATATGCATTTAAAAAAAAAAACAATTTTCTATACATTGTTTGCCATTAATCCATTTATTTCTACGTAATTAATTTCATATGCATTTAAAAAAAAACAATTTTCTATACATTGTTTGCCATCAAATAGATGTCTTCAGTCTTCACACAAGGACAACGCAATTGGGTAACAAACTTTTTAACATTTTCTCTCGCATTTTTTTCGGATCTTACGTGAACGAATCACGTTACAGAGGCTTCCATATATTTATTTAAAACCCTTCATTAAATGGTACAACTTCACTAACACATGGATTCACATCAGATGAGACCCCATAAAGCGTGACCACAAGGCACGGATGAGAAAGCTTTACAAAAAAGTACATCAAACATAAAGAAAAGAAACAGAGCAGAGACTCTCGTCTGTATCTCTATTGAGAGTGACAAAATAATGTAAGCAACAAGAATATGTTTTGGTGCTAAAACTCTCCCTTACCTTCGCAACGGAACGGGACTCGTATTGTCGTATTTCTCTTGTGTAAGCCAAAACTTGCACAATCGAAATTTGTCTAGAGTTCCTTTTAGGGATACAATATGCAAGAATCTCAAAGAACAGCAGAGAAAATCTTAGTAACCAAAGATGGTGTTCTTGATATTATTGATGAAAAGAGTATTTTGATCGTACAAAAGATTTAGATCTTGAAAAGAAAAGTGTTTGTTTTTTGCGGTGATCGCCTTCAAATTCAGAGCTTTTGTGTAGTCTAAAGTCGAGCGCGTTTTCTTGTGTCCCTCCTTTTGCGAAGTACTTGTGTCGCTTTATATAGAGTTGGTAAAATACCTTTCCAGCGATATATTCGGAAGATTTCCATTTTCCTCGGAGTCGCCTTAGAATATCTCGGATAAGGAATGTTTCCTTATTCTTCGGGGATATTTGGAAGATTTTTTTATTCGACTTGATCCTTGGAGATTCTTTTTTATCATTTCCGAGTATTCCGGAAATCTATATATACATTTTTGAATGACTTTTAGCAAATAAATCCTAGAGTTGGACCTTATTTACGGATGAATGCCATTGGCATTAATTATTTAAATTTGAAAAATATTAATTAAAGATATTACCAATACGATTTCGAGAATCATAAATTCATATCTTCCTTAATTTTCTGAGTCATTAATGTGATAATCTTTAGGAAATATTTCTCTGTAAAAAAAAAAAAATCCACATTAATGAAGGCATTAAAAT